TCACAGGAAGGTCACTAGCTGCCTTAGGCACTAAAAGTTGATAGCCAACAAATTTCAACAAAACATGTCTGTTCTAAACAACTGTAAGTGATCTCGAGTTGGGATGGTGGGGAGGAGCAACAGAGGTTGGCAACATATCCTTGCACCTAATCAAAACACATTTCACATGCCAAAATGTTAAAAAAAATGCTCTAAAAGAGAGACAATCAAATTTCTTGTACATTATTTGGTTTCCCCTAGCTTTTCCCATATTTCTTTGAATTCAGGGAGCTTCAGACAAAAAATGTTTAAACACAAGCAGAATGGATAATTCTTACAATAACTGTTAAGCAACACTGATTCTGTTACTTAGCAATAACTAAAAGTTTAGTGCCAAAAGACTGACTGAGAACACTGCAAAAACTGGGTTGGTTTATTTGTTACAATGAAGTATATGTAGAGGGCTGGACAACTTCTTTGAAAAAATTGACAGTTGCAGTTAAAGGCAAAAAAGACAAAAGAATCCTTCTTGTGGAGCAAGGTTAGTTAAGTTAGTTTAGACTCTGTATTATTTCTCTGTATAAATAAGATGCATACATACCCTTACAGCTATGTTGTCATAGCTGCTATTTTTCATATGATCTGTCAAGATATTATAAGTAATACTGTAATATTTAAACTTTGGCTACCTCTGACATCACCATAATTCACTGAAAAAGCCTTTCATTTATCCAAAAGGTCTTCAGATTGATTGGTATTTTATCTTGGTATTGAAAAAAAATATTTGCCCTGCTTGCCCTTCAAATCAAAGCCAAAATACAAGTCCTGCTGCAGCAACGTAATTTAAAGTATTATCCATACTGAATATTCTGTTCTAGAGGGAGCAGTAAGTTAAGGTCTATACCTGAAGCAGAATATTCACTGCCTGTGTTATGACTTATAATCTTTAAAGATATTTCTATCGCTCCCAGGCTGCTTTCCCCCACAACCTTCATATTTATAACACTAATATTCCACTTAAGGGAGCTATGGACAATTACCTGTAGACACACACTGATATACCACCACATTTACAGTGTTGCAGTCATAGTCAAACACTCTCCAGAACATAGAGCAGTGGTAAGGTGTTAGATTTCTCATTTAATCAACTAAAAGATAAAGCACATGATTAAATACCTATATACTTTCCTTCCCCTCATAAATCATCCTAGGCTTTAGACTTAAACTAATCACAATCACAGAACAATTCAAGCTAGAAAGGACCTCTGGASATCATTTATTCCAGCCACTCTGCTTAGAGCAGGGCCATCTACAGCAGATTTACCAGTGCAGTGTTGGCCTTTGGATATCCAAGAATGGAAACTCCATAAGATCTCTGTACAACCTGCTCCAGTGTTCAGTCACGCTCTTAGTAATAAAAATTTTTGGTCTTGCTTAATGTAATTTTCTGCATTTTATTCTGTGCCCATTACCTCTTTTCCTTTCACTGGAACCCACTGAGAAGGATCTGATTCCATTTTTGTAAATCATCAAGCATTCCCATCACATACCACACTCATCTGATGCATCAGTCACTCGTCCCAGTTTGGTATCATCTGCAGATTGGCCTAGGATGCACTCGGCCCCAGTCTTCTCTGGCATTAATGAGGTTACTCAATAGCACCGGCCTGTATCTCCCCAGGGGCACTGCTAGTCACTGGTCTCCTGCTTGCACTTGTGTCCCGATCACAAAATTTGAGTCCAGCAATTCAGCCAGTTTTCAGTCCACTTCACTGTCCACATGAAGTGAACAATATACAAAGAAGGCCATATGTCTTGTATAGGCTGGGGAGTTAAAAGACTTCATACGCAATCTACTTCAGTGTCCAAACACTGTTTTTTGAAACTACATTTGGCTTTTCAGCAGCATGCTAGCACATGACTGAACCAGAGGACTGAAGAGTCTCTCTTTGCACTGAAAAAAGAGGTTTAGAAAAATGTATTTAAATATGAAGCGAGAACAGTAATAACATGAAGAGAAGAAACTAGTGCAAACATTACAAGTAACTTCAGCAAGATGTGCATAAAATGGAAAGAAAACCCCTGCAATTCCAGCAGACGCACAGGCAGACTTTGGAAGAAAATTATGTTATTATATGGCAGCGAGCTAGGAAGTGCCCCTGCTGCTCACTCATAGGTGTTTTCTCACTGTTGAGGTTAGCAGCTCTGCAGTTTACAGAAACAATGCAATTTTCTGTTCGTTTCTGACCCTTCAGTATTTCTTCATACAGATTTGATTTTTTTCTATCCAAAATTCCATGTTATTTAGAACAAGAAACCAAAAATCAAAGCAATTAGGTGGGGTGGAAACCTTCTTTAAAGGAGGACCTGAAAATCTGTCASGTAAGAAGTTTGAACTTCTCACAGAACGATACATACGTTTTGTGACAAATCTGAAAAATCAAAGGCACTTGCACTTTCTAGGAGGGGAAAAAAAAAAGAATCGAAAAGGACCAATTAAATAACATTTGTCAACAGGAAGTTKTATAACAGACATGACTACATGTCCAGATTTTCCACACAAAATACTCAACAGGCCACTTCAGCAGGGCAGACCTTCTGGGTCACCACAGGAAAAGATACCAACAAGCATGATTCTATTATGAACAACAAAGTCAATCATCTCCTTTTGGACAGATTGTAAAATGTAAATGAGAAGGTAAGAAAAGCAAGTCTTGTGAATAAATCATAGGACTGGGAGTCCTGGATATACGCTCATCACACCACAGTTTTCTAGGACAAGACATTCTAACTTTTGAGGTTCCTTTTTTAAGGCTTCTTTCCTCCCCCTCCCATCCTTTGATATGGTAGTCATAAGAAGCATAATTATATCTACATATTCAGGGTAAGAAAAATACAAAATTGGAAATTGCTCCTTTAAAAAGTGTTAAATATTTCTGACTTCAGATGAAATTTAACCTCTTACATGATGAAGAGGCAGTTCAGTACACCTGCACAAGACTGGCAGGTACCATGCAGTCTCCATATCATAACAGACCTATTCAGTACTGGGAAACAAAAACAGGAACGAAAAGCGTCCCAAAGCATTAAAGCACTTCTCCAACAAATCCTCTAAGAAAATACAGATGTTCTAATAGGATCATGAAAAGAATTTGTGAATGACTAAGACTACAAGTACATGATCCCCGAGCTCTAAGTGCATTCTTGAGCTAGTCTGGCACTACTACAGTCCTCAATATACTAGTATGTGCGCACCTCCTTACTCAAATTCATGAGGTTCCTCTCTGCTCATCAGTTTAGCCTCTCCCCACCAATTTGCTGAAGGTACCCTCTGGCCCATCATCCCTGGATGACAAATAAGTTTAACAGGATTGGACTGTTTGATTCTGTATTGAGTCCCAGGGTAACATCACAAGCCTCCAACTAAACTTTGTGCCACTAATCACAACCCTCTGAGCTCAGCTCTTCAGCCAGTTTTCAATCAACCTCACCGTCATCTATCTCATCTCATTCCCTTTCTTCTTTTTCAAGATCTCTGCTATATAATCATACTTAGTTCTTCTTTTAAAATGAAAAAAACCTCATCTTTCCAAAGYATTTTCCTTCTTCCCTTCCTTCTTCCTCACTCTTATTTAACCAAGAGTAAAATATGTGATGAATGATCATAGCATGCCATGCATGTCATACTCCATTGAAAAGTGTGATAACTTTTTTTTTTTGCAGCCTCCAAGGTGATTTTTAGGCCTCCTACATCCATAACATGAAGTTGCCCAAAGCTTCATTCTTAGTCAAGCTGCAAATAATTTTCTATTTAAGGATCCTAATCAGATCTATATTTGTGGCTATAGTGGATGCTTTGCTAATTTTCTGCAAAAGCCTTGCAATAACAGCCTTGCGAAACATATTTTTGTGTTTTTAATAGTTTATTTTTCAAGAAGCAGAATCTCTTCTCAGACAGAAGAGAAAACTTAAATGCAGTTATAGATTTAGACTCCAGTGACTTTCTTCCATTATTGTCACCTCAGCGTACAGAGGACCTCCTAGCGGAGTTTGGTTTGATTGCATAACTGGTCAGAAAAGTAGATGGATCCATGTTAAGAAACACTCATCAATAGCTGTATATTTAGACATGTCATTCAATAAGTGGAAGACATAGAAGATGTTTTCTCTCAAAGTATATCCAGTAACATGATTTTTCAGAAATACAAGAACGTGAGAAATAGAATGATGTGCTGGTAGAAGAGTTTTTTAAAAAAAAAAGGGCTGATTGAATTCATATCTAGCTATTGCATATTCATTATGCTATCCAAGAACAACTAAAACAGACCAAGCCAGAGGAAAGACTACCCCTTTCCCTACCTCTATCTCTAGTCACACTGGCATCCTTCAGGAAACTGCAGCTGGAAATTTCTAGGATGAGATACTGAAGTCRTGACTGCAAAGTGTGCAAAGGAGGCAAACTCTCCCAGGCAGGCATTAGAGCTGTCTCAGGAAACGTGGGAGCCTGATGTTTAAGGGCCGATTCACATACGAAATTTAAGCTTTGGCACCTAAGTGCCCAAGTGTCCTTGTGGAGAAAGCCAGTCATTTACGCTGCCTCATTACATGAGGGAAAGTGCTCTATTAGCTCAGTGCTGGCCCTTATCTGGAAAGCTGAGACTAATACGCTCCAAGCAGTAGGCAATTAAGACTACTCAGCCTGATTGTTAGTGATTAGTGTGACTAGTAAACAAGTTGATTTAAAATGAGCTTGATCAAGCTCGATAAGATAAATAGCTAACTGATTTAGGAGGAAAAAAAAATAAATCAGACTGAAGCTTTCCTCCTTCCCGTCCCCACCCCCCCCCCGCCATAGCTCTTCTAGAAGTTGAATTACATGGGAGAAAAAATGAGAAAAGCATAATTAGATGTAATTAAAGAACTCATTATATCACCAGGGCACTTGGAATTATAGCACAATAAAACACTGTCAAAATGGGGTAACATGAAGGATAGGAATATACTGTCTTTTAAAGTAGTCCTGCAGAGATATATTAAATTGTCAACAAAACACAGGCTATTGATACCAGACAGATGAAATGAATAGTTTCAATAATGATAACATTTCGCAAGTTCTATTGCCCTGTCCACGTATCTCAAACTATTTTGCCAACACCTATTTTACTTTTGAATTAGTCCTCGKGTCTTCACTTTGTTGGTTGCTGATTCGTAAAAAACAAGTGCTAAAATAATAATGATATAATAATGATCCTAGGGCTTCCATTTAAGAGATAAGCACACCACTWTTTAAATATTAGGTTTGGTTTCATGCTCAAATCCTCTAATGCTAATTCTGAAAACCCTACATTTTCCAGAATTAATCAACGTTTAATACAAATACCGGTTGGATATTTTTTGATTTAAAAAGCTTAGTCGTTCCTGAAGGCCACTCAACTTTCTCAGAAAGCTACAAAGAAGCAACTACTGCATCCTAACAAGAAAAATGATGGAAGCTTGAGGGATTTCATGGAAACTGCTGCAGAAGCAAAGAGCCAGCAGGGTGTCTGGCAAAATGAAACTTAAGACAAGCAYAGTCCTTAGAGTTCTGCCTCTGCAAAAAGAGGTTAGTTCGTGACAGCAAAGTTATGTTCAGTTGAACTCAATGCATTATTTATTTCACTCAAAGTTGTTATCCTTTATCCTCTTCACAACAGAGAAAGAATAAACTTCTTGGAAGGTAGTACATTAATTATAATTCCTCTTCCGCTTCTCCGCAGCAGCATCTTGTTGGATGATAGTAGACACAGAGGAATTAATAGCATTTCAATAAAATCCATCACAATTTACATATGTTGCATTAACATACCAATCTGATTTACTGGGGTATCACCAGACAAAGACATTCTGTTCTTCATCTACATAAATAAGTTCGCTCACACTAGTAATTAAATAAGACATACACATTTTGTCCTGCACAATGTAATTAAATATAATTTGATTTTTTTTTTACTTCTCCATAAAACTGTAATGAGATGCACAAATTCATCAAGAAAACTGATTATAGCCATTCCTGTAGGAATTTCTTTCTTCTTTAGATTTATCGGAGTCTTTCCTCTATATCTGGAACATATATATAAACAGTGTGATTAAATAAAAAGAGGCAAATATTCAAGAGTAAGATTAATCACACTTACCATTAGGGAGAAAAAAAAAAAAAATCAGATTTACCTGGAAATTAGGATCTGTCAATGATTTTCTGCTGAAATCACATTCATAGTAAACATTGACTTGGGAAGAAGCAATGAAACTTGGGCAGACCTTTTATAAAACACACTTCAGAAAAAGTTTTCTTTCTTCTAGAATAAGATTCCAGTCAAACTACAGAAAAGTAATTCTCAACCCAACCCACATAAGAATAGTAGGTTCATTCATCACATTTCAGGTGAGAGTTATAATGACCTAGCCAATAGTCTTCCTCCAAATGAAAYAGAGCAGATGGATTTATTGAGCAGTCAACAGGCTAAATGAATCACCCTGCAAAAAACATCAGGTCGGTAGGGGAGGTGTTATCACCTTTTTGGCCCAATTTATGTGAATGGAGTAGCTCCAGGTTGAGAGAGTAAAAGATAATTAAAGATTACCAAAAATTTAGTATTGAAGACTCTTTCAGGCTTTAAAAAGCTTCCCATTCTTGATATGACTATATGAGAAGAGACCAAAACTATTTTTTTTTCCCTTCTCACATGGGTTAGTTATCATTGTGGGATAAAGGTACTCCTTAAAAAAATTTACAAACACTGACCCGTCCTAAGGCAGAATGAAAAAAAAATGATTCTCAAAAATGTTCAGCTGACTTTGCTGATGATAAGACTAAATCTTTAGTGAAATTTGTACTAGGATTTAAATACAAATATGTCATTCTCAATTACTGTAGCCAAAAAAAATATTGATTAGACTTCATGTGGCTTTTTTTCCCAGCTATCTCTATTTGTATTCACATATAATTACTGTAAGAACAAACTAGTTTTATTAATTAGTAGCATTTTGCTTAAAATACGGTTGTGTTTGAAATGCGCTGATGTGTATAAAAGTGATATTCAATAAAGGAGAAAAAAATTCTAGTGATCCAAACTGAGAAACAAATACTTAGTTTTAGCAAGTACAATATTCATGGTATAAGCAAATGAAGGCTACATTAATTTAAATGTAAGTTCTGAACAATTTCATTTCAGGCTTTTGTTACAGGCTTCTTGTTTTATTTTGTTTATTTGCAATCAATATTTGCCTTCATAATATTTTTAATAGAAATTCAAGATTAATCCCTATATATAGACCAAAAGATTTGTAATTTGCAATCTCATTTAGAAAGAYACTGAAGCAAAAACTTAAAAAATAGGGGTGTTTTCCTGAAATAGTAATTGGAAAAAAAAAATGACTTAAAAATGGTGATGATTTACAGCAAGGAATTAATTTCTGCAGTAGGGCTGCTGCATGCCACTGAATTGGTAGTCTCTATTGGTAAGGGACCAGTTTCAGAGCACAGTTCTGATAAACTGAGGGATATGGATCTTATTCATTCATGTACAGAATATGTCCCAATATTTATTTCAGGCTTGTTTTAAAGTAAATTATCTCACAACACAGCTCTCAGCTGGTTTAATGTTGTGTCCATTGATATATTTTTTGGATATCCCATTCTTGAGAATGTACCAGAAAATTTCATACACCTGAGACCTGTGTTTTAGGATGTCACCCATTTTCCCACTGATTCTTGAAAGTTCAGTTCACCTAAATTACAGAAATAATTGCAGCATGAAAGCATAGGAGCATGGTAAACTGGTAGGGAAATCTGAAAAAGGAAAATATCCTTTTTTCTAGGAAAAAAATAAGTGATTGTTTTCTTCATCTAAAGGGCATGATTAGAAACTGACAGCAGAATTCAGAAGACTTTCAGAGAGTTCACTAACTCCTCTTTTAGATGCATTTGGCAGTATCTCAGACCCTTGTGAATTGTCCAAAAATAACATCTTACAAACATACTAAAAGACCCATGAATAAGCTGTATTTAATGTATGTTAATGACATGGAGAATATAGTTTCTTATTTAAAAATATTTGCACTGGGCTTTCATTTGAAAAAGACAGATTTAACATGCAGTCATATTCATGGCATATGCATATGTAAAGCAGCAGCCACTTTGACTTAAGATAGTCAATATTACCAGAATAAATATTGCAAAGTTTTTGGAGAAAGGCATTCTAATATTTCTTGAAAGGAGTTGAAAAGAAAAAAAAATGTAGCACGCATGTCTTCTGCATATTTTGTTTTTCTTTTTCTTTTTTTTCTAAATGGATGTCCCCATTCTGTCAAATTCAGTTTATGCAGTTCTCCTGGATGCACAGTATTATATCTAGGTTACCAGTGAAATGAAAATTGCTGTTATAAAAATCTGAGAAAAAGAGGAAAGGAAAGATAGATAAAGTTTAGTTCATTATAGTGAGAGATCTAGAAAATGATCTGCAAATTATATCTTCACTGATACACTGATATATCTTCATTGATCATTATTTATGTCCCTTCTGCTGATATCAAGCCAAGAACAAAAGCATTTCAGCCTTTACTTTCCACCAAGAGCACGAATCTATTCTGTCCCCTTCTCATGGACTATGTGGAAATTTTAAATGCAGCAGCTGGCGAAGACTTCTAAGGTTTATTTCTAAAGTTAAACTCCTAAGTCTATATTTAGGAATGCAAATAGGCTACTGTAATTCTTGGTATGGAAATCAAGCATTTCACAAGCAGTGCACATTAACTTCAGGTTTTGGAACTTATTGTTGAAAATCATGCTGTCTGTGTCAGAGTGTGCCAGCACATTCCCGGCTAGTCAGAAAACAGGATGCACTGGGGGCCACTACCAGCTTCCCTGAATTTGAGGAACTGAACTGCTGATGATTCACTTGACCAAAGGAGAGAAGAATCTTTTGGAGCTTTCAAAAGGATTGAGAAGATTGAGAACCATTTCATGCAGTAGGAATGTCTTGTGTTCCTGACATATCCTTAGCAAGTAGTATTTAAAATCAAATCTGGCTTAATGAATATGACAAATTCCATTTGCATTTTTAAACAACAAAAGGATATTTAAAGCATTCGTTTTCCACCAAGTGCTATCCACCAGATGCAATAGCATGAAAAATAAGATGAATGAGAGACACATGATATATTCATGTTTCCATAGTTGTCTCATTTTTTTGACCAATGATACACCAAAGAGAAAAAGCCATCATGATTTTCAGGCAGAGATGTTCACCTGTTACTGTATTTTCCTATTACTACACACATTTGCACGTAGGAATAATAGTCACACATGCACAATTCTTTACAAGGATTTCCCAGATAACCCCTATGGATTGGGAAGAACTCTACTTTCGCGTTCAGACACCACCCTCTCCAGTGCTGTGGCATGTGCAGGCCCCAGAAAAGAGTATGAATGGAAAGGAGAGGGGAATGAAGCAGAGAAAAAGCAGAAGAGCCCTTGGCAAAGAACAGGAGAAACTGTGGCCTGGAAACTGTGTGGCTCATGTAAATCTGTGTATATCTCTATATTTGGTCTTTGTTTAGAATCCTTTAATGCTTACAACCATTAAGCTTTGTCACCACTCCTAAGAACAGGGAGCCACCAAACCCTGCTAAGGTGGTGTCCAAGCGTCTGAGAAAACTGTAAAAGCTAGAAGCCAGGAAAGCTTGGTTTAATAACAAAAGATAAGGCTTTAGTKTCATTCCTCAGAGGATAATAATGACAGCAGAAAGGCAGAAGACCAAATTCAGAGATAATGCAAATGCCACTGGGATGGAACACTAATTCGTTAATTAACTAATTAGCTTAACATGAATTATTCAGCATCACTTAGGCAAATACCATAAGGGAGCCTAAAAGGCCTGCATTTAGCACGCACCAATGTTTTGCTCTACCGTTTTCTCTCCTGTGACTAAACGAGGCAACAGGACACCATATTTGCCACAGCTTCCCTCGCACAACAGCTTCTGACTGTTTTAGTTGCAGCTGCTTGCAAACACTGCAGAGCAGCCATAGTCTTACTGAATTTTGCAAATGAGAAATTGTTATGCTAATTGCACACATGCTTGAATATTCTCTAAATTTCCTTTTGGCTTTTCTATGCATCTCATTCCCAGCTCTCTCCATAATACCACAGAATAAGGCTGAAAGGGATTAGATGGTTTCTCTAATTCCTCAGTGAATTAATGGGTGATATCAGCTAGAGACCCAAGCTGCTTTTTAATGTACCTTAACAGAAACAAATATTATATGAAACAAGACCTAGCAACAGATCTCACCTTCACAAACTGATCAAAACAAATGTGCATTGCAAAAAAGCCTCAAAGATTACTAAGCTGCCAAATATTATTATTATGCTTCTCAGCTTATTAAAGCACATATTGATTAATTTTCTAGATACAGTGGCCTATCAACAGAGTCAAGATGTCTTCTGAACCATGCTGGTTTCTTTCCCCAACTAACCTGCCAGTAGCCCAGCAGGTCTGTTGTAGTAAAGCTTTGGGAACTCCCTCCTGTGCTGGCACACAACCTGTTCAATTAAATCAATAGCCCACTACAGAGTTCCTATTTGTCACCTGCAGTATCAGAGGAAACTGTAATTTTGTGCTCTATTTGAAAAACAGATTATGTCCTGACCACATGCTGACTCTTTGGATGAAACTCCCACTTCACATCTAGGCAAAAATGTATTTCTTGGAAATCTTAGTCAATAAAGTCCAGGGTAAGATGTAAATGCTATATATAAAAAGGCATACTATGTCAAGAATGGAACAACAGAGTATTTTAAAAAGAATAGCAATGAAAGAAAAATGCTGTAAACTTTTTATGTTGCGTGTATTTCATTTTAAGCATATTCTGCTTGTCTCCATTTTATTATAATTGCTAACTGAAGTCTGTTGGGAAAGTATAAAGCTATGCACTTCTCAAAGATTATTAGGATTAAAAGAGAAAAAGAATAAGTTAAAATTCTCTCTATATATTTGGATGAATAAAGGCTACTTCCAGTAGCACTAGCAAAGTTATCCACTAAGGACTTAATGAATTCCAGGTAGGAAATGGCTCATGTCTTCTTAGTGGAACCTGGGCGTACCTGAGAAGACAAACATCCCCTATTCATGTTGTTTATGGAAGGAAGAATATATCAAAATATCTTTCACTCATGCTTTCAACATATAATTCTGGTAATAGCTAAAGACGAAGGATTTATTTTTCTCATACTCACGCAATTTGAAAAACTTTTAGCTTTGAAGCATTAAGTCTCAAATAGTATACAGCCTAGAACAGTATAAGGCAGTAATGGCAAAGAAGGCAGGACAAACAAGATCATGATTAAATATTTTAATGATTTGGGGGAAAAGTCCTTAAGGGATGAAAAGCTTCAA